AGTATTTTGTTCTTCTGTTGGGTTCCCAGAATCTTGACTATTGTATGTCTAGCTGCAGATTTTTTTTTTTTTTTGATCATGGCTATTTGGAGTCCTATATGCCTCACTTATCTGTATGTAAAATTCTTTCTCTCGATTTAGGAAGTTTTCTGTCATTAATTCTGTGAACAGTTTTTTTATGTCATTTGTACTTTCTCCTGCTACTTCATGGATTCCTATCATTCCTATATTATCTTCCTGGCACCATCTGAGAGTTGTTGGATCAATTTTTCATGATCCCTTACTGTTTTTAATAGATCTCTCTTTTCATGGTCACTGACTGCAATCCTATCTTCTATATCTGAAATTCTATCTTCACATTTGTTTATTCTGCTGTGAATGCTTTCTATAGAGTTTTTAATCTCTTGTACATCTGTTTGAATCTGTTTCTTGGATTCCCTTTCTTTCCTGTGATGGGCATTCATGGTTTTCATCATGGTCTGAGCTCATGTATTTTTTTTTTAAATCTATTCCTGTTCTACAGTCTCTGATCATGTCTTTCATTCTTTTCACCATTGCTTTCGTTATCTGGGAAATTATTTGTTTTGAATTTTTCTAGAGCCTCATTTATATGTTTTGTTACTTCCTGTGCTATCAGTTCAGAGTGTCCATATGGTTGACTGTCAGACTTTTTCACCTCATTTTCCCCAGAGTTTACCTTTGGTGAGGTGGAAGTGTGTGGTTGTGCTTTGTTTAAATGTCTTTTGTTTTCTATTTTTGTTGTTGGTGCTGTCCTTGGTTTAATTCCTGGGTTAATACTTTGATCTTCCAGATATAGCTGATCTTTAGGTTTTGAGTCTCTAATGTGGCTGAGGCAGTCTCATTTTTATTATACCAGGAAGGACAATTGGTTAGGTCAATCACAACACCTTAGCCCAATGATAAAATCAGCCACACAAAGCATCAAGCACAGCTTAGAAAATGACAATTTTTAGTAGTTATTAATCTATCACTTTTAATTGTGTGAATTAAATGAAAATTGAGGGCCAGCCCCAAATATGTTTATAGTGAATAAACTCTTCAGTATAGCAACTTTACTCTTTAGGTTGGGGACTTAGAAGGAGTTGGAGTGGGAGGGATAGATAGGATAGAGAAAGGTTAGAAGTGAAGTCAGAGGACACAAGAAGATCACACAGACTCTAGGGAGCTGTTGGAGAGAAGAGAAGACAGAACAAAATATTCCTAAGTACAGAACAAACTAATAGCAATAGGGAGGCTAGAGACTGTAATCACTTTCTTTTAAAACTGATAGCAATTGAGAGAAGGAAAAAGAGAAGAAAAGAAAATGAATTTGAATTAGGATAGCAATAGGAACAAAAAGGGAGAGAAATGAAGATCAAGGTGCAAGAAAGTGTGAGAGAGAGAGAAAAAAAAGAAGATAAGAAAAAGAAGATAAAAAAAGGAAAAATATTTGAGAAAACAGATAAAATATTTTTTAATTATTAAAGATAAGTGAAAAATATTACTTTAAAAATAAAAAATACAATTAGAAATAGAGGGCCTCCTTCAGGGTGTGCCTCTGTTGACACAGTAGACAGCGTGGCAGGAGTGTGCAGGTCTAAGTTAATTAGTCTCAGCGATCCAGCAGCTGTCCCCCAAGGTTCAGGCTGATTTCTGGCTCCAACGCCCAAGCTGAGATCTCTGTCTTTGTGTGGGTTGAAGTCTGTGAGGTTCTACAGCAGGTTCTGTCTTTCCCCTGAAGTTAGACCAGGTTCCGATTGAGGTGCTGGTCCCTCCAGTTTACCAACTATGGTGGTCTGGTGAGTCTTTAACACAGGGATTTTCTTCACTTTTCCATTGGGCTTCAGTTTTCATCGAGGAGCCTCAGAGAGGCCTTCTTTCTCTTGTTCATAGGGGATTGGGGGGCACAGACACCACTGTGTTGGTATCAGTGTGGCTGGGCCAAAGGGGCAGGTGCACCAGAGGGTCAAATTGCAGTATTTCTTAGCATCCAATTTATTCAATTTAGGTTCCATTTTCTATTTCAAGATCTAGACATTATTTTAAGAGTTAAGTTGACATTGAACTGATCGCTGTATAAGAAGATGAATCCATGAGTATTTTCCCTCCAGGATAACAAAAATAGATCAGTTAATATAAGTTGCCTAAATGTGTCTGGAACATGCTATATTTTGCCTGCTTTCTTGGATGTAGTTTCAAAAGTAAAGACAGAAATGAGGAATGGGTTTGTTTGTTTGTTTGTTTGTTTTTAGATCTGTTTGGTTTGAGGTATGTAGGATTCTCAGTGAAATGATTTGGGAGAAGATATCAAGAAGTGTCTGATACATATTCAGGAAATGTGTAGACATTCCATTTGAAAATCAAGGGCATGGGACAGATTTACACATGGGTCTGCAGTGATATGGTAGCACAGGGGAAGGAATTTTAATTGGTCAGATCTGAGGAGAAATTTTAGAAAATATTCAGATGGGGCAAAGGTATAGTTCTTTGGTAGAGTATATGATTAGCATGTTTCACGTCCTGGGTTCAATCTCAGGAAACCAATCCCCAAGAGAATTTAGAAAATGTACAGATAAACACAAATATCTTCCCAGGGATCTAGTGCTCAATTATTTTGTCGTTTTCTCTGAAATTTATCGTCAAAATTATCCATTTTATGACAAAAATGATTCAACTACACTAATCAATGTAAAGAGTACTATGAACCTCACCTTATCATTTCTCCATAAAAATGGAAACTTGTAGAATTTCAGGCTGCATGGAGGCAATAGATTATATCATATGACTATCTTTTATATGGCATTTTGTAACATCGTTCATATTGAAAGACAGTCATCAGTTCACATGTAATCATCTCATTGTAGTAGATTATAAGGATCTGCGTATGTATCTTTGTTTTGTGTTGTTTGTTTTTTTTTTTGGAGTGAGTGAATGTGAGTGTCACTAAGGGTAGGAACATTAACAAGACCTCAGATCATCCTTCTTTCCTTTGTCTCCCTCCTTTCCTTTCTTCTGTCATTCTTATTCAGTCTTCACTGTGCCCATCCCTGCCCTTGGCTGTGAGAATCTAGTGGAATAAATATTCCCCTGGAGTAAACATTATGCCGGGGAGGAGAGTTACAGGAGTCAGACAAACCAGGTCACAGAAAGGCAGTGACGGTGGGGAGGCTGAACAGCTGAGGCAGCACCGAGGAGGGAATGTTTGAGGTCACGGATGGCATTCAGAGCCACACATTGAAGGAGAACACGTAAAGGGAGAGAGCAGGGCTGCTGGGAAGGGGCGCATTTAGAAAGTTCCCCAAAGAACTTTCCTGGGAAGGAAACAAAATTGGGGTGGAAACTTGAAGAACACGTGGACATGTGGTGAAGAAGTGGTCTTTCTGTCCTCTGCTCACCCATTTCCTTCCTCATTCGTGGTGGGAGATGTGGAGACCATCAGGGATAGAGAGCAGGCCGAGGAGGGGTTTGGGGTGTGAGTGCAGAAAGTGCATATTCGGTATTGAGATCCACACGGGGCTGGAAGAGGCTCCTGAGTGCCACTACCCTCGCAAGGCGGAGGCAGGACAGTTTCAGAGTCTGGTTTGGCAGCTTCTTTCCCCATGATGTGTAAGGAAGACCATCAGCAGGAGTTGGAGATAGAGGTGTGTGGAAGGGAGTACACAGAAAAGAGTTTAAAAGGTACGGAGCAGTCGTTTTTGAGAATGGGCGAACTGCTTACCAGCAAGGCAGAGAGCATTATTTGAGAATACTTTCTGCTGTTTGGGAATTATGGTGAAGAATTTGGAGTGTCTCAGGGTCAGTTACAGCATGAAACTTTTTCCAGTTTACCTTCAGATTGGAAACTACTCATTGGCAAAGATCGCGAGCCAGTGAGCCAATCGCGATTGAGGTCCGACAGCAGCCGATTATTAGCGATGGAGCATTGTCCATTGGACACGCGGCCCGCATGTAGTCACACACATTCAGCCGCTGGCCGTGCAGGCACCAGTGTAGCGTTTTTCTCTTCGCTCTGCTTCCTGGAGTCTTTCTGGTGCCTCGCCGCATTCTGCACACCTGAGTTTGGGGCACGGTTAGCTGAGACTGGTGAAGCAAACAGGGCACACAGAGAAACTGTGAAGCTGTGGTTCTGCTGGATCTGCTGGCTCAGCTTGGGGCCAGTGTTGTGACATCGCCAGGTTTAATTAGACACTAAGGATCCTGAAAGTAATCTGCCCCTTTCCACATTCACCAGTGACTCTTTTATTAGACAGTGAAGAGTATTAACTTGTTAATTTCATAAATTCGTATACACCAAAACTGGCCACAGAGTGCTGGTTTAATAAAAAACTAATTAGAAGAAAGGTATCCACATACGTATTAGAAAAAGAAAGACCTCATCTTAAGTAGCTGACATACTAACGTGATAAAAAATGTTTAGAGTCAAGTTGGTGGTGGTACATGCATGTAACCTCACCTGGTCCGAAGGTTGAGGTAGGAAGAGCATGCGTTCCAGTTCGGCCTGGTCAGCTTCTGAGATGTCTCAGAATAAAAATAACTAGGCAAAATAAAGTGGCTGGGGATGTAGCTCAGTTGTAGAGAGTTTGCGGAGTTTGCATGAGAAGCCAGGTTCAGTCCTCAGTGTTTCAGATAAACATACGAAGAAAGATTAGCGTCAAGAGTACCTTCCAAGCTGGGCATGGTGGTGTATACCCTTTAGCCCAGCACTTGGGAGGCTGAAGCAGGAGGATCGCAGAGTTCGAGGCTGACCCGGACTACATAGTTCAAGGCAAGCCTGAACTACAAATCAAGACCCTGTCTCAAAATATAAAAAATTTAAAAGTGCATTCCATAGTCCTTCTCGTGGATTCTTGGATTGCTAGATGTGCCTGCTATGTTTAAATTCTCGGGGTTTACCGTAAGGCATCGCCTGCCTTGCGTGGTAAGCACCTGCCGGTGGACTGGCGGTGTGCAGCAAGTTCCGGGGCCTTCGGCCGTCTTACAGAATGTGTGGTCCTTTCTAGTACACTTCTGCCCTCACGTATGATGCCGTTCAAGTGATGACCGAAGCCTTCCGCAACCTGCGGAAGCAGAGAATTGAAATCTCGCGGAGAGGGAATGCAGGAGACTGCCTGGCAAACCCGGCGGTGCCCTGGGGACAAGGTGTGGAAATAGAGAGAGCCCTGAAGCAGGTCAGTGCCCCAGCACAGCGCGGACATTTCCTCCCAGTTAGTCCCCCGTTCATACCTGTGCCAGATATGGAGGCCGTGTTGTTGTTTCCTGGAGGCGCACAGCTATGTTGAAGAGCGAGGGAAACAGTAACAGTGCCGTTTTCTTTTCCTGAGCTCAGGAAGAGTGTTCTGGACAGTTCGCGTCTCTCACTGCAGTAAATTAGTAATCCTGTTCCTTTTCCATTTCCTCAACAGGTTCAGGTGGAAGGTCTCTCAGGAAATATAAAGTTTGACCAGAATGGCAAAAGGATAAACTACACCATTAACATCATGGAGCTCAAAACGAGTGGGCCCCGAAAGGTGAGTCTGTAGAGCTGGGGCGGCAGTTGTGCGTGTTCGGAGGTGAGCCAGCTGAGTTACCACACATTTCCAAAGAGCCAGGAGGAGCATTCACAAGCACAGAGCTGAACAACTTCTAAAAACATAGTTTTGAAATATTTTTTTCTGAGCCAAATCTATTCCTTTCTGGTAAGTAACGTTTAATTGTAATTGCAAATGGCACCTGTTAGTAAAACTGCTATAGTTTTTGAACGCTGTACTAGAAAAAGACTCTATTAAAAAGAAAAAGATCATTACTGACTGTTTAGCATTCAGAAAACACAAAAATTTAGCTGGTGCGAATATGCATAAACTGGTCACCCGACAACTTTCCTTTTCCTGTTACAGTTAAATGTCAGTGTTTGTAATTGCTTTTATATTTCTATGCGATCGCTCTCAGAGAAATTACTCACAGAGGTGATGAAAGGTGGACTCCCAGAGGCAAGCACCTTTTAAGAATTGCTTTGTCTTGGTGTGTATCATTTTTTCAGGTTCACATATGTAAGAGCCAGGTTTTTGTTTAGAAGCTCAGTTACTGTATTGAGAGTTGAGACTCAGATGTGGCTTTGAGCATCGTTAAGCATGTTTCTCCTGGAAAAGGCACCTGTGCATGTCTGCCTGCTGTGTCCTCTTTCAGATTGGATACTGGAGCGAAGTGGACAAGATGGTGGTCACCCTGACCGAGCTGCCATCTGGAAACGACACCTCTGGGCTGGAGAACAAAACCGTTGTTGTGACCACGATTTTGGTAAGTAGCTGCATTTGCTTTTGGTGGACTGCTTTTTTTTTTTTTTTTTCCTTAAAGTCTCTCCCACGGACAGTTACTGCTTGTATTTTATGGTGATAATTAATACCAAGATAACTCTGCAGTGTTATAGCCATTTGTTGCGTGTGTACTGAAAGAGTTCTGCAGTTTCTCCTTGAAGCATTCCAGATGTCGGTTGTCCTCTTCCAGGCGGAAATGTAGTGTAACAGAGCGTTCAGGCCCTGCTGCCTCCTGGGGGAGCGACTGGAGAGGTTGTAAACAGAATTCCTCACACCCCTGGGCTCTCTGCCTTCCTCTTCCACCCACCTGTGGGTGAGCTTTAACTTCACCTGTGTTAGGTAGCTTCATAACGCTGTTAACTACTCCTTTATAAAAACAGTGAATTCCGTGGAGAAAAGGATGAACTCCCTTCTTTGTACCCTTAGTTTGAACACAGACGCCCAGTACAAAATACATGCATATTAGATAAAGGTGCAGAACTGAGCTGAATATTAGTGTTTAAAGTCTGCCTAGCTTGAAGGGAGCCATCAGTCGAGCTGGTGAGCTGCGGTGGGCGTGAAGTGGTGACAGTGGAGTTCATCACAGGATCTGATATCGTGACAAAATTATTGTGTTTCGTTTTATTTTAGCACTGGGGTAATAGCTTTGTGAAATTTATTATTGTAATAAAATGATCCGTGAGTGTAGATGACCTATTAAGAGATTTAGATTAATAACGTGTAGTCGGCACTGAGAAATCTTTTAATAAGTGCAAGCTGGACATTTGAGGATTCTGTCCCTCATCTCATCACTGGTGTCATTGAAAGGAAACGTCTCATGGAGACTGCAGCTATCCTCAGTCTGCCGCCTCTCAATGGCAATATTAGATTGTCCTGAATTATTTTTGTCATGCTTCTTCTATCTTCTGTTCATAGCGAAGAGCTCCTCTCTTGGTATCCTTGTAGCATTGTCCTGACATAATATTCATCTCGTAGATGAAGGGAGACCTGAAGCCAGTGGGGGTAGATCTCTGCATCGCCGTGGTGGTGATAACCCTTCTGGTCTGGGTGTCACAGGCTGTGAGCTTGATTTCCACATGGAATTTATCTTTGGGTCTGCAGTGATTCAGGGATTTGGGTGGATGCTGGTTCTTTGGGTCAGTGTGACTTAACTTCAGCTAAGGATATGAGAGATCTAGAGTTGAGTAAATAGATACTGGGCAGCATTCTTCTCTCTAAGCTCTAGGAATTACAAACAGTAAGCAAACACACTAACAACTTGGGATATTTTTGTGTATTTTGCTTATTCTGAAATGGCTAGGCACAAGCCACCTGAAGAAAATATGAGGACAGACATTTGAGGACCTTTGTTTCAGAAGTATTATGCTTACTTTTTTCTTGTGCTGATGACCACCATCTCTTTTCCACCTTGCGTCTAGCTAACATGCAATTCCTTAAGCCAGAGGTCAGACTCAATGAGAGTGTGAAATTAATTGAGCTGTTGTAATCTGCAGCAGTCCTGTTTTTCCACATAGGAATCTCCATATGTTATGATGAAGAAAAATCATGAAATGCTTGAAGGCAACGAGCGCTATGAAGGTTACTGTGTTGACCTGGCTGCAGAAATTGCTAAACACTGTGGGTTCAAATACAAGCTGACAATTGTTGGGGATGGCAAGTATGGGGCCAGGGATGCAGACACGAAAATTTGGAATGGGATGGTTGGAGAACTGGTATACGGGGTAAGTACAGCTCTCCTCACAGGTAAAGTCATTTGGTTTGAACTGTTGTAGACAGAATGGTCACCACCATTTCCTTCGAAGTATTTGTGTCTGAGATTGTTCCCATCCACATTACTCTAGAAATACTGTCTTATTACTGTGTGGACATCTGAGAGAGTGGGGTGGATACTGATACTTGAGCCAGGGGTGCCATTTGCCTTGAAAGAGTGTGGGCCATGTATACATTGTGCAAAGGTGCAGGCAGAGATGCCGTGTAGATGAGTAGAGTTCAGACAACTGGTTATACTGCTCATTTGATAAAAAAAAAGGAAGTTATTTGGGAAACAAATTGCTTTAGTGTTTATTCTTTACTGGACTTCTATTGGGGGGAATAATTACTGTCACACCTGTGAGTTCCTTTCCTTCCCCTGTGAGCGCACAATGTAACCATGATTCCTTCCTGGCCGTGATTCCAGGGACTGTTACTCCCTTTGTTTGTCTTGCAGAAAGCCGATATTGCGATTGCCCCGCTGACTATCACCCTCGTGAGGGAGGAAGTGATTGACTTCTCCAAGCCCTTCATGAGCCTCGGCATATCTATCATGATCAAGAAGCCCCAGAAATCCAAACCGGGAGTGTTTTCATTTCTTGATCCTTTAGCCTATGAGATCTGGATGTGCATTGTTTTTGCCTACATTGGGGTCAGTGTAGTTTTATTCCTGGTCAGCAGATTTAGCCCCTACGAATGGCACACTGAGGAGTTTGAAGATGGAAGAGAAACACAAAGTAGTGAATCAACTAATGAATTTGGGATTTTTAATAGTCTCTGGTTTTCCTTGGGTGCCTTTATGCAGCAAGGATGCGATATTTCGCCAAGGTTGGTTACTCACCTGCTTTGACTTTGTGCATTTTAGGTCTCGAGTGGATATCCATGGTGTGTATGAATTCACCCCAGAGACATTGCCAGCTGCCACCGACTGCTTGTCCAAGCAACTTAAGACTGTTAGAGGACAAACTTATGTTCGGCATAAGCCTGGGAAGTATTTGAGCGATGTTCTTTGAATATTGGTCATGTATTTCCCTGGTGAAATTGTACACACCATGGAGAGGCTATAAAATGCATAAGGATCCTGTCATTCCATGCCTTCTTGGAGAGGTACCGTGTTTTTGCTGCATATTCTCATTTTACAGTCATCTGTGTGCCGATCCACAGACCTGTATATGGGAAAATGGGCAACGTCATTCCCTCACCACACCAACTTGCTAAACTCGGTTTCATCGACAAGCATCTCAGCTCTCTTGTTTTCCTAACATAAGCTCATGGCAATGGTGGGAAGCAGGCACTTTACATCTTAGTTTGAGCTTAGATTGCTGCTTAAAAGGTTAACATTTTATAAATATCTGGAAATATAAAAAAAGGGTGAAAGATTCATTCCAAAAGCCTTGGCATATAGAATAGTGTAGACAAACCTTTCTGGAATAAATTCGAACACCTGTGTTCTCCTTAGGGTATGTTGATGACTGTGCTAGAATACCTTATTTCATAAATCTATTGATTTATTTATCTTACATAATGGAATGAGAATAACAACCACATGTGGCTCTTCAGAGAAATACATCATACTTTTTCCATTGTGAAAACCAACATTTAAAGCCAAACTGGTTATTGGACTTGTCATTACCGACACATTTTAATTTGGGCTGCACTGTTCTCCTTTAATTCTAAGTGTTAACTGATGGTGCTGGTGCCTTTCTGACCCAGTTCATTAAATTCTTAGTTCTTGAACACTTTTGTACATTATGATTGATTGATTAATTTAAAAAAATTGTATGAGAAGCTGAACATATGTATATATTTTACAGTCTCTTTAGTGTATCCCAGAGAATGAAGGCAATGTGTAGGCAGAACTTGACACTTCTCTAATAGGAACACTTGCATTAGTGATTCTTTTAGGATCGCATTTCTGTGAATTATATAGAACTTTAAAACATCTTTGTTTTTTGTGGCTGTTCTGCGGGACAGCACTGAAAGAAAAATATCCCGTACCAGGGACATTTGCATGCCAGGGGGTGTGTGTATGTGAGAGGGACTACGTGCCTATCCATGTATAGTATTTCTGACAAAATACGGAGGATTTACAGATTCATGTCTACATTTAGTTGATCTAGGAAAAATGCATGAAGAGACATTTTTAATAACAAAGGGAGGAAACTAATCACATTGAGATCTCAGAGGACACTCTGGTCAGTAAACTTCTAAAGAAGTGTTTGGCCTGCAGTACCAAGGCCTCTGAAGTGTGTGGCCTGGCTCTGGGACGTGAAGCGATTGTGCCAAGGGACACAACCTGTGCCCTCTTTGGGGAGGCAGGAGAGTGCACAGGGCTTGTTAGGAAGTAGGGCAGAACGCCTGTGTTCCCATGCCTGGGCCTCTGGGTCCTCCGCCCTGCCCACCGCGCTTCCTTGCACTGCAGGTGGTGGTGTGGGTACCACGGGCTGGTGGCTGGGCACAGAATAATAATGTCCCAGGGTCCACTTCAACATACAGACATCTCCTCCTTTTCACCAAACCTGCTTCTAGATAGGTTTTGTGTGTGTGTGTGTGTTTGATTTCTTTTGTGAGTCATGACCCATTATAATTTTTCACGTAATAACCTTTATTCATATGATTTTTTTCATAAGATATTTTGCCTATTTTTGCTTATATATGATCTCAGAATACAAATAAAAGTAAAATTCATTTAAAAATATTAAAAAATACTTATCTCTTTCTGGTCTATATGCATTTAAAAATTGAACCTACTACATATTATTTACTACAAATTTTATGATTTTTTAAACAACTAAACATCATTTTAGAATGTAATGTTGGTCACTCTATATCTGAAGAGTTGAGTAGATTATTATTTTTAAAACCTTGAAATGCACAGATCACTTCAGAAGTGCTCTTTAAATATTTTAAAAAGTGTGCCTTGTCCTATGATAAATGATATGGGACTGTGTTATTAACGTTAATGACACACATTTAAATTGAAGTCTAGAATGATCGATTGGATATGTGGACTCGGTCATTTCCCTGAAATTAGGTTTAGAGTATGAGCTACAGTTCTGTGAAATCCTAAAACCACAAGATTGTAAGAGCAGTGTGCCATAGATTATGTTATTCCTCTGTTTGCCTCAATCCCCTCAATATCTCTGAAAGACTTAAATACATATCAAAGATACATTTAAAATATATAATAGAGGTTAAGAATGAAAGATAAGATAGTGTTACATATTTTAATGCATGTGATAATTTTTTTTAATTTTTACTAGAGACACTATTTTTGTCTATCACCATAAGTTAAATAAAATTTGCTCCTCTGCATAATTCTCCAGAAATCTTTGAGAGACATTAAAATTTAAAGCATTTAAAAGTACACAGTGAACTCGTTAAATTTTTTTCACTTTTGAGTGATTTACAAGTTCAATTTTTTTTTTTTTTTTTTTT